CTCTGTCACTGAGTTTTGCTACAAAAGCGTGAATTTGTCCCTCGAGGAACTCTAAAACATTAAAATAATACTTTTTCTAAGATATGAACTGTTCAGATAACCAAGTTCCCCGAAATAAGTCACTTTTTTAACCAGCATGACAGCTCTCTAGGCCGTCATGTAAATACCGCGTCACGCAAAAGCTTACAAATTCAAGCGCAGTGTATCACAAAACCAAGAAGCCATTCGCAGCGAAAATTTGTATGAATATTAGTTTTCAGCTACTCTTATACACCTCAAAAATCTCAGGAAGATCAATAGTTTTGTAGTTCGAATTTTGGTGACGTCATGTGAAAACCAGCTATAGCTTGATTTTTCACATCTTTCGTTACTTCCGTTTGATTTTGATTTTCCAAGAAAAAAAAAGAGCGTAAAAAGCAACCAAAGCTGACTGTCACAATTCTTAAACCCTTAGAAAAATATGCTAATACAAATGCAAAATAGATAAACAACTTGTTACGATAAATACTCACGAAATGGGATTTACAATTCCAAAAACCATATCAGATGGCAAATTGTGAAAAATATGAAACACTTTGTGTCTCCAAGCTTCTAATTTGGCGCCAAAAATGGGTCGCCGGCGTTCGGCATGGCAACTCGCTCGTAGTTCGTTGAGTGTCGTCAGGTAGGATAAGGGCTGTGTTATTTTGAACAAAATATGCTGTTTCTCGTCAAATTAAACCTGGAATTTTCAGGTTAACTATTACAAGAGGCCAGAGCAACTTTAGCAATGTCTTTATTTTTCTTAGCTGCGAAAAAAAAAAGCTTTTATTGTGTCGTGCGGTAGGACAGCTCAGTTTTGACTGCAGCTCGTACTGCGGGCGCAGTCGCCGTATGCAAGGTTCAAAGAAGAGCAACTTTTCTCACTGGCAAGTGCATGCACATGTAACAATTTTCTCTACGCCTTACAGTTCTCTCTAAGTTGACATAAGAACACTAGCGTGACAGCCATTTTCTGCAAAATTGAACAGTTTCCAGCTTTCTCTAGTACTTGTCAGTTTTATACGAAGTCTAATATTATGCAATGAAACCTTTTTAATTGGTGGTTAGGTCTGTTCGATATTTTTATCCACATTCGATTTCCGGGTGAAACAAATTCCGCCGGTCGTTTGCCACACACTCGGCCCAGTAATGGCGCGGTAATATTGTTTCCGTCACGAATGATGACATAATCGTACCCACAAACTCTTTCCATCTCTACGTCAAACTCTTTGAGTCGTAGATGAATCACGTGACCTGACTGAGCTGTTAACTGCCATACACAATGGAGATTTGACCCGCAATTCTCGTCACCATAACTGGGATGAGAGAAGAACTGTCGTTTGGTGTTTGAAGCTTTAAGTTGAGTTCCGAAAACTGCAAATGTAACATACATTCCTACGATTATTATTCTTGTCAACAAGAATCCTGTATTCTGACTGGACTGTTATGAGGCAATGATTGTGCATGAT